TGAAAACTAAGCTGGCAAAAAAGACTCCGTGTGTTCATATAGTGTCCCAGTTAAAATTAAGACTACATTTGGGATTTTGGTATATCAACTCTCAACAGTTACCGGAAGCCAACCCAAAACTTTAGTTGTTTACGTGTGATATTTTAAGTCCAAAGTGTAATAGTGCAATAATTGGCACAAGTAGCGTTAGTTGAGCATTGAAGTGCGGCTAGAGCAAAGAAGTGGTAAAACAAAGTCTTATTATAGCTCTACCCTTCGTCCTCACAAAGCTGTATTCATACTCTCGATTTCCCACATTTGGGTTTGTGTGTCCTAACCCCAACCATTGGCGTTTTTGCATGTGACACTATAAGGGTAAACAAGGCTAGGCGAAGGGTTTTTAAGTTCGGTAACACAAATAAGGACGATTAGGTTTGTGAGACAGGTGACAAATCCCGAAATTTAATCTTTCCTTGACTCATCTTCGCCATACTCTATCTTTCCTTTTCTGATCTAAATTAGGAGGATATACCTATCAGCCAAGTCCCTCGGATGGTGTACCGCTCAAACAAACAAGTCATCGATTTTGTCTAAATTAGCACGCCTGCTGCTAATGCCTCTATTTTGCGGTTTTCTCAGCTCTAGTGGAACGAGATTTGGGTCGGCGTTGGTCCGATGCCAGGTCGAACGAGGTTCGTAGTCATTTTTGAGAGTGCTTACGGTACCGCCATCTCGCTTATCAAATTTTAAAAAACTGAGTTCTGGGAAATTTTGTTCGTCGCACCGGAGGACGCCGTCGCCCTCACCCTCCGTTTTATGCAGGCCATAGCGGGCAGTTCAGAATGGCAGACGAGCTTACTGAACTTTAATGACGTACAAATTAACCAAGACACGGGATTGTGGGTTTCTTCGTTCACAAGGTGATTACATCTGTTACTTTGTGCCGTGCTTCCTAGGTATCAACGTTCCGAGACAAACGGTGTATGAACCTCTTCTACTTACCACGTTTTCCGTTCTTACCATAGCATGGAATAGGCGCGAGAACTGCACACTGCTTCCTGCTGCTAACAAATGTGTAAGAGGTTGGTAGGGACTCTTCTGGAGTTTATTTCGCAGCAGCAGAGTCGCGATCTCAAAGGAAGATTTAGCCGCCTGTTATTCTGGGCAACACGTCTTTATTCGAAGAATAAGGGCTGTCTAGTGCAGTATAATTACTTTGTTCTGGGGTTTCGGGTAGAAAATCCGGTGGTTTATTACTGATGACTGACGAGCCGGACACATTGCCAGCTGCAGACCGCACTCGCCAATCTCTTACGATTGATTTGGTGTTTGAAGCTGCATGCTTGAAATAAACATACTTAGACAGATATCTCCGTCAGGTTAGCCATCTTCTTCTTGTTCTTGTTCTTGTTCTTCTTCGTCCTCTTCTTCTTCTTCTTCTTCTTCTTCTTCTTCTTCTTGGTGTTCCCAATATTAACTCTCCCTCTGATACATGCCAATGTGCTTGCAGACGTTGGGGTAGCTCAGAGGGGCAACGGTATAGAGAAGGACCCCACTTAACTGTCAGTACACTGTGGATCGTGTTATACGTGATTTACGGTAAAGGGAGTTTTATAGGCGGGGTAGCACGGTAGACAGTAAGCTGACAAAAGGAAAGAAAACACAGAAATTGCCTGGATTTATGCCGAAAGTCTTATCCTACGCTATTGTATGACAACGGAAATGAGAGTAGTAATTAAACAATAAACAAAAAGTAATTTTCACAAAATAACGGATTTTAAGTTAAGGTGTGAGGCCGTGGGAAGTAATCGTTGTTAGCAGTGTAGTTTCTACGACGGCCTGCAAATGTATGCCAAAATAAAACCACATACGACACGATCCACATTCAGCTGACAGTTAAGTGGGGTCCTTCTCCATACCGTTGCCATCAGGGAAATCCAGGAGAGGTAAACAAAGTTTGGATAGAGAAAACTGCAGCCGGCAGGCTTCACGGTGATCCGATGTCCTTTAGTGTGGCCGGAATAACGTAGCACCACTGCTGAGGGGAACGCAATATAAATTCCATGCTCGCCAGCGCAGGCCGTTCTGAATGTCTGATTACTTTTTTATCTGCCTTGGTGATATTCTGCAGTTTGGTTTGCCACCCGTAAGTTTCTCAAGCATAGGTGACCCTAGGGATTTAAGATTTGGATATGTGTCACACAATCACCCATCGTTGCATTTTGTCCCGAAATCCATTGGCTTGCCATTTTTTGCGCGAATTGGACTTTTGCCCGAGAGACGTGTGCTTATAAAAAGTCTTGGTAAAACACGCGGTTGTCTATCTTCCATTGAAGAGCATTAGTTAACTCTTACCGTTGAATTGTAAAGATCCCCAATAGGTAACATTTGAGCTCCAGTTGCGAGTCGATTGAAAAGATGAAAAATCTTTTTAACGTATACGTGCGGCTGATCCAGATTTATTTTTTTTCGAATCGCTGAAGACTACTCCATTTCCCAGTCTGAAGAACTGCTTAATCCAGGACAGTCTAAACCTCTTCCGACTGCTAGCCAAAGTGAGTGTTTAGTTCATTTTCTAGTTCAACACGAAGGGTAATCTGTGTCGAATTCCTCCAACTCAGTTTCTTGAGTAGTAAAAACTCAACTTTCCCCGACATATTTTAGGCTGCAACCTACATCTAGAGCCCATCCAATTATCTGTCTCCCCGTTCTGTCAGCGGTCATCCTCGGCCCCTTGCGTTTCTGTGAGCACGCCGGTTTGATGAATGTCGATGAATGCGACGTGCCGCTACAGTCAAGAGTAATTTTCGTATGCTATAGGATTCTTCTTTGTCCCCGCACCTCCAATATCAGCACCCAATAGCGACTTCTTAGTGCGGAAAACTGTCAGTTATCGATAGATAGACCATGCTCATAATGTACTTTTGTTTTAATAGGCATCTTGGCAGACTTATTTGATTTAACTGACTGAACCTTTATGAGACACCCGACGGCATCGGTAGGGTTCCAAAGCACAACAACCGAGGTCGCCGAGTTTTTCACAATTTGGTGGTCAGTTAGACCGTTAAAATCTGTCAAGGCATCGACCAGTTGGACGTAACTAGTGGTCATCTGGTGAATTCTAGACCGATTGTTTAGGAAAACCTGTTTGGGCAGTTAGACTACTGTATTGGAATTGATGAAGTCCATGCGTCGCAGTAGGTTGTGCAGGTAATTTAGCCCAAATATGAAGAACTTGAAGGGTTTTTGTCGGGGCATCTTAGTTCATGTGGTAGTAGCGATGGCTGTACTAAATTATTGTTTTCTGCCGTGGGTTCGAGGCACGCCGAGTTTACCGAATTTTCCGCATTTGCCTAACCAGTTATACCTTTGTTTTGGTAAATTGGAAGTAGAACTCCTCTGCGTGAGCGGCACCAACGATGAGCGTAACAGGTTAACTACGACCGAAGGAGTCGTTTGGTGGTTATTCATTTGAGAATTCATGCAGTCTCGACTCATCAAAACCCTAACGTTCAGTGATTACGTGTGACATACTTGTAAAAGAAACAGATTTCATACGATGAGACATTAATTGTTTTTCGAATCCCGTCCACGAAACACTAAATCTCCACCCCCGTAATTAAAGAAGTCGTCTTCTGGCAGCGAGGGTAGAATGAGACTTGGTCTTCTGACGAGAACGGCGTGTTGTCCCATGTAGTGTATCGAGAACCATGCGTCCTAGGACGTCCTCTTATACTGCTGTTACCTTAGAGTTACGAGCATGCCTCACATGCTTCGTCTTCTGCAACAACGCTATCAGCTCCTTCCATTTAATGGCCTAAGCTGAGGTGGGCAGGACGGCGCGGAAACGTGTGACTGAGCAGTTTGTCAAACCCCTGCTGACCGGCTCGCCAGCCCTGTATCGGTCGCCTTCGTTGTCGTCGTCGGCGTCTGCCAGTCCATGAAACTATGCGTTTGTATGTTAGTTTACCGCAGGTCTCTACCCACTCCGTCGCAGTCTGCGTAGATTGCCATCTGGCCGTCACGACAGCTGAACGACCCACAAAACCCAGTATTCATCTTGTCCTCCATTTTGGACAAACATACAAAGACCTCGTAGAGGTGGTGACGCGCACATAATCGCTCTCAGGCAGGTTAGACTGGTGCAGCCGCGAAAACACACGTGACGGCGGTTTGAACATCGAAGGCGACAACAGTCACGGCTACCCAATGAGGTGGGCCCAGGGAGAAATTTGCGCATGAACTCGTTTACAGTGAAGTAAATCTGTGATGCGTCTACCTTACTCTCTCTCTCTCTCTCCCTCTCTCCACTCCTACTTTGCTCCGATGTGGAGACACATTCAGGACGACGGGAGGTTGGAGTGAACGCAGTGGCTGACAAAATTAAATAGCTCGCCTACGATTGTCACACACAGCCTGGTTCCCCACGTGGCGTACCAAGCTACTGTAAGGATAACTCGGGTTTCATATACGGGATAATGTCACAAAGATCGCATTACGGCGAAGTCATTGTAGCCTGTCATTCATTTCTGAAAATCACCGACTTACTACGAAAATCGGTAACCCTCCTAGCCACAATTGACAGCACAGCATAATAGATTCCAGCGGGTCAGATTTAGTATAGTGAAGTGTGCGACGATGTGTCCTGGAGATGGACTCACTGGTGTCATCCTAATTCCCATTCCCATACACCAGCCGACTCTGCGAGCCTGCTTATGAGTTGGTGATAAGTTTTCGCACGGTGGCTGGTGTGACGCAAAAGTCCCCACCTACAGCGTCCCGCATGCAGGTATGGCATTGACGAGGGTTGCGCAGACACGTCGTAGCCCGATAAACATATGCCAGTGCGGTCCCTGTTCGGTCCGAAGTACCTGCCTTTCAGCCTACGTTATCGGTGGCATTTCTGACAGTCATTTCGACCGTCACTTCCGATGTCCACCGTGTGCTCCACAGTAGAATGAGAACAGAGACTGTGACTTGCGCGTGAGTTAGTTTAAAATGATAGTGGGCTTGCGCAGCACCTACTGCACTATCTCCTCCTCCTCCTCCTCCTCCTCCTCCTCCTCCTCCTCCCCCACCTAAATCTGGAATTAAGACAAAGACGAAGATCGGAGGCGAGAGAGGGCGCAGGTGGTTGACACGGAGTAAGGCCGCACCTAGGCGTATTATCACACCGCCTAGTCCATAATGTACACTGGCCGGGATTCTGTACAGCAACGAAAAAGTCAAGAACAACAGAGGTCAACAACAACAAAGATGATTTTTACTATGATAAGTTGCATGCCTACATATGTGCATGTGTTTCCCTTCTCATAATCTGAGCAAACGAAGGTATCAGTGGCTGAGCAGGCTAAGCAGAATCTCTCGGGCAAGTGGGGAGGCAGTCGTTTGTATCGTCTTGTCGTTATCCCTTTCTTGCTCTGAAAGTTCACTCCACTTGCCCTGCCACTCTACCGTTCACGGTCTTCCCTGGGCTAATATCGTGTCCTCGGTCAGTACTTTAGTCAATGTTCGCAGGACCCCCTTCTGTAGCTGCTCTAATGGGGCTTCTCTTCAACCTTGGATACGAACCCTCAATAGCGAGGTTGAATTTAAAAAGCGGTGGATTGTGGAGACTCAGTGATCTCAGTAGATAACCGCATCCACAACTCCATCTATGGATGTTAATATAAGGGGTATTGAATCTTATGTGTTTTTAAGGAGATAACGTTTGATGGCTCAGTCGCTAATGGAATTTCCATAATTATGGTTATGCATCTTTAAATTAGTCTCCTGCCTAAAAAAGCAGACACTGATGCAAAGAAGTTCGATAGCCCATATTTTACAGCGTTAATATCTCAGATGTCTTATCGCCTAAAATATATGGGGAAAAAGAACTAGGGCTATAACTAGGACTAGGATTAGAGGGTAAAGTCAGGGCTGGGTCTAGGGTAAGGAGTTAGGGTTAAATTGCAAACAAACGATAGATTCTTCACACTATCCCTTTCAATGTGACTCGTCATCACGGCCTGGGATGAGTTCGCCTAGAATATCTTACCAATGCCCCGGTTTTCATTCTTTTCGCCCGCTGACAGCTCCTAGTTTCCGATATTTCAAATCTCGATCGTGTTTTACGCCTTATTGGCGTATTTAAACAAGACAGTGACTTGAATGTTCGTCTTAGCTTTTTGTTTCCGAAAATGGCTATCGGTCAGTTTTGTTTATCCCACCCATAGAACCCCTGTTACTATCATTCGCATATTAGAGAATTACTTGCTTCCCATTTTCACAGTGGGATCACATACCCAATTGTCACCCGGTTTTGGGCAGTTCCTGAAGACAATATTTATTAGAGAAGATGCCGACGAGTTTTCTGGTGTCATGCCAGACACAGCAATATGGTGCGGTCTTACAGAAAGTGTCACATGTTTTTCTATTTTGTTATTTGCATGGACAGACTTTCTGTGCTTCTAAACCTTAAGTTTACCCGTTTAGCACAGATTTGACATTTTGGCAATCCCACGCAAAAATTGTTACTTTTAGACAAAATGGTGCCATTTTTAATATTTCTTTTGTGTTCTCACTTAACTCAAAGCCGTTCATTGATAATTTGGAGTCTAATTCAATATATTTGGGCCAAATTGTGAGTGTTCAGTGATGTTTCGTAAATTTGGACACATTTCCCATGTTAGGTCTTGTATTGCAATTAGTTTTTCCAGAAAATGCACACCAATGATTCGTTTTTACGCAATGCTTCAAGAAGCATCTTTATTTGCAAATGTCATGTTTGAAAGCAAGGTCCTCATTAGCTTTGAGCACTTTCATATTTCATATGCAGCAGACTCAGGCAATCGATCCACATTGAAACAAAACATCCTGGACGGATTAAGAGGCTGCCAAATTATCAAGAATTACACTGGAGAAACACGATGTAGGGGTTTAATCAATGCTTGTATTCTTCCTTTCGGGGGTTGTCGATTGCACATTCTGTATCTTTCTTATAACGCTTACCGTTTACACCAGTTTACCTGGCCGTCGTATCACAAGTGTAGTTGTACAAACTGTCACGTCGATTTTCTCCGCAATTCGATGAGGAATAATACTGAGAAGTTTATTTCTCATTGGGTCCGGCAGGAAAATTTTATTTTTTGATGTTAGGTTTTTTCTTGGTATCTTCGTTGCATACAAGTGGTATGAGTATTCGACCTGGCCGACTGACGTTTATTCAGGCCAATCAGCGAACACCGACTTACTGAGAGGCCCCAACGCTGCTGCTATGGCTGCCCCTGTCCTCCAGCTCCTGTCGCCATTGAATTCATTCCTGCTTTGGCTGCCATTGGCCATCAGGCTGGTTCGCGTCGCTATTATCTCACTTGCATACTCGTCTGGTCTCAGATGCTGCCTACAGGTCCATGCCAGCCATTTTTACGATCGGCCATCTCTATCTTTGCCTACCCAAAATATAAGTTACCCTCTCTGCCTTGTATTCCTGATGTTTTGCTTAGGACACCCACGGCCCAATTGAGCAACTTGATGGTCCTAGTGAGTTGTGCAAATTCGCGACAATACGAACGATCTGTTTCCATTCAATAAAAAGTGTCTAAATCAGTAGATTACCCAATTAATCAGTGATGCCTCTGGTAATAGTCAACTGTACCCTTGAAACCCTCTGTTTTTTAAATACGTTGATGATTTTAGATTAACTGGCTGTACACACTCCCTGGGAGCATCCTCATCCCCTTCTTACTTTACTATGCAGGAACATCGTAAACATCAGTACATATAGCAAATTGGAATGTACTTCATCGAACCAACGCAAACTGCGAGCAGGCCCCAGAGATCTGCAGATACTAGGATGTACGATGTATTAATTGACTCGAGGTTATAACTCGTACCCTACATTATCATACTTTAGTTCTGATAATTTAGATCGTTGAAAGCATTCTTAAGAGTTCTGGTTGGAATTGCACGAGGTTTAGCCCACGTGTCATGCTGTGAGGAAACAGATGTCAGATGAAATCTCCTCAACATAGTTCGTCTGTGTTCCAGAAAGTGCCCATGGGTAAACCTTGCCTTGTGTAGACAGGCGCGGTCGCTGTCCATTGACCGGTCATTCATTTGTGCTTTGCTCTCCGAACATTTCTCTTCATTCCTTGTGCATCTAAATGATTAATGCTTTAATAAGCAGGCTACCGACTGCAGTCATTATTTCGACGAAGGCGCCCCGGCAGTTGCCTTCGCGTTCCGTCTACAATTTCTGTCATACATGTGACCAGATTGTCTACATTTGAATTTGTTGAAAGTGGGACGCGATGAAACTAGTGAACTTGAAATTAGTCCCCTACGCGTTAGCGCCAATCACCAGTGCGCCACAAGTTTCCCTGCCTGAGAGAAACTTTGCAGCGCTGAAGCCAACCTTAGACGTGCCACCACTTGAGGTCGGGCTACCAATGGATGATGGCAGAAATAGCCATTCCGGCGTCCTCACCATTTTCAGTAACGCTACCGGTCGGTTGGTTGCGCGTTGCCGCGTGGCTACTCTTGTGGATTTTAAAACCGGGGCTACAGGATATAAGGCAATCGCCCCATAGTCCGAAAATGCCACTGTCATTTGACTTTATGCATTCTGGTGGCAGTCGACGGAGCATGAGGCCAGTAGCTCAGGTGATAAGAATGTTTGGCGACCCGCTGGGCCCGGCTCAGACCCCGAGTGCGCTTGTAGCGGCCCATGTTGTAAGGAGAAGACGGAAGGAACCAGAATGTGGGGTTTAATGTATACAGAACCCTGAGTTGTCCTCTCAGACAGCAGTAGCCACTGGCGAAGCCAGGGCTGGTGTTGACTGCGTCCAGTCAACCCTGAGAGTCCTTGGGACGGTGGTGGCAGCCACTTTTGTAGGCTCGTGGGCCAAGCTCGAGTTTTCTCCAATCGGTGTGTGTTGCATTTGCTGAGGGGTGGTGTTCCAGTAGTTTAGGTTGCGGTTGCAGGGGCGAGGTGCGTTCAAGTGGCCCCATGGGCAGTTGAGGCTGTGCGGACGCAGGTATGCGCGAGTTGTCGGTCGCGTGACTTCAGGTCAGTGCGTCTGGAACGGCTCACTGCAAAGGGGCGAATGACCTTGAGGCAGCGAGGTCTTGAACAATGACGCCAGACCGCTCATGATGACTAGCCCGCCACACGCTGGCAGCAGAGTTTGGGACAGAACGGGCTAGTGACAGCTGATAAGCCAGAAGTGGCCATCTTTTCGGCAATACTTCTAAATTACTGCGTCACACTGTATGAACCGGTCTAATTCCATCTGAACGCCTGGGTGACCGCAGCAACTGGAATGGGCAAGTTTCACTGACACGTGTCTTTGCGTATACACACTCATGACAGAATAAGAACGCGGAATCATTTGGCAGAGGCTTGCCTACCATAAATGACTCTCACTATGACGGGCCAAAATTTACGGCTTTCAGAATATGTGCGTTCGATAGAGAAAACAAAAATATAATTCGTTTGACGTTTAGGTTTAATGAACAATTCCACCACCAGGGGTAAAATCAGAGAGGGGTAAAAAGCACATAAGGCTGCTAAGTCATCACAACACCACTTGAAAAAGCCGATGTGCAAGGTGCGGTCGCTGACGAATGAGGCGTGGCCAGTCAATCCGTTTTTACATCGGTCGCGAAAACCTAGTTAGAATGCCGGCAACAGCATAGCCGCCTCGTCCTGTAAATACTATAGTTACTGCCTCCCCCATGTCGCTCTACTTCTCCATCGAATAATGGATTCGAGTATGACTCCGAGAAGCGGAACTAATATTCTAGCGATCGAGTACACTGCTTTTTGTAAGAGTAGTTCTGGATCGGCAACTTGAGATTTCGAAAAATGAAGAAAAGATCAGATCCTACACACTTGCATTCTGTGTGTTCATTGGATTGTTTCATGCTTAAGTAACTTGCGGGTCCCCCTTTTATCGGGTGAATTTCACTTTTCCCTGCGTGCTTGCTACAATCTGCAACAATGATGAAGTTCACTAGGAAACGTAAAGTAATTTCTGCAGTGAGAGACACCGTAGTGTTGCCTGCAGGCCAAGGAGTTGGATTTCATGCATTGCTAACTGATCAGTCTGAGAGGAACCTAAAAGTTTCTTTGGTACCCCCTTACAAGGCTATTGTGAAGGCGGTTGCGTCTTCTTCTTGGAACTGGAGCTGAGCCACTGTCTAGAACACGTCCAACTTCTTCAAAGGTTCAACAGAATCAGTCGCCAATCTCCTCTATTCATTCGCT